GAAACTTCGTTCTCGAGCACCCCATCTGCTCTAAAAAACGTTTTTTTACAAACCAATAGAAAGAACACATTTGGTTGTCGTGGCTTCTGTGCAATTTTACACATTTAAACGTAAATTGAATATTATAATCATTTTCTTTTCATTTATATGTGGTGTTCAATCGAAAGATTTAAATCAAATTGATACATCACAAACAGAGCGCTTATTTACAAATGAAAATTTGTAATAAGTAAGTTGTAATTTCATTTTCAAATATGTTCTTTCTATTGGTTTGTAAAAAACGTTTTTTAGAGCAGATGGGGTGCTCGAGAACGAAGTTTCAAAAATATGCCAAAAATTGACAACCCTCCGCTTCCAACAATATGTTCCAGTAAGAAACGGAAAATATGACAGAAGTTTTGATTTTGCACCTAGGTTGAGAAAACCAATCATTTCTGATAAAAAACAAAAAACGATCGAAAAATGTTTTGTTTTGATGAAGTTAAGAGACTTTGATAGAGAGTAGAGGAATTCTAAGTTTTCTGACGGTAAGCGCTACACTAACAACAGAAATTCTATATCTTGGTCAAGTTAACGAATCAAGATCTCAATTTTTTTTCTATTGTTCTGCTGGTAGTTTGCTATAATTATTATAAAAAATTCAGTTTCACACATCTCTAACTTCACTACTTATCGAATGTCTCCTTCCCTAAGAAAAGCACATGTCTTCGAGAACGAAGCTTCCTTCTAGAATTCGTGTTTTTTCGATAAAGTCCGTGTCGCATATTATTTCTCTGTCCAAAAGTGTGTAAAGGAAGCAAAGACAAAGTTTAATTAAATCTGCTATTCGTGTCTTCCCGAGCTTTTTACGTTATAAGTCGACGTTTCGACAGCTCAGTGATCCTAAATAATGACAGCTGAGCTGTCCAAACGTCAACTCATAACGTAAAATAAATAATCGTTCAACATTTAAAGCTGCTGTTAAAATAATTCTATGTAAATTGTGATGTTCTTGCTGACAAACAGCCACCGTCTTCTCCTCCATTTCCACTTTTGCTAACTATCTTTCCTGACCCCACTTTTACTAAATCCTCGGCCACGCCGCAAACAAGTCCTGGACTTATTTTAATGTGGAATAAATGAATTCGAAAAGAAAGGCCACGTCCACTATTTGACACACTATTACTGTGATTTAAGACAAGAAAGGTTCAATAGGGATGTTTGTAGAGACCGTTACTTTTATTCCTATGCTCGCTCTAAAAGTAAACAACATCTTATCTGTTCTCTAATTTTTCTCAAGATCGCTAAGCGCGCCGTCACGATGTAGCTCTCAGCATTTTAGATCTCGGAGAAAGGCGAAAGCGCTGAATCAAATGATATAGGCTTCAGGAGTTCCAGTGACTTAAGATTTTAAGTAAAATTTTTGATTTGGCATTTTGATTTCAAAAAGCTCTGTTCTAGAGTCAAATTTGAATGCAAAATAAGGGGAAATGGGTTGAAATTTTAAAATAACAGTAAAAGGCCGAATTCTGAGTTTTCGTGCAAATTTTGTCACTTCTGTCACTCGTTTTTGACAAACGGTATTTGGAGAGTATTTGAAATTTTCTAATCAGAGAATGTGTTCTAAAATATGAAGTTTACTATTTCTATGTAACTCGATGCGCTCTATTCAACCAACTATGATGAAAAAATCGAAAAAATAGAGTCCTGTTCGATTTTGAATTACCGGTACCTTACAGAAAGTGCTTATTTCAAAGCTTTAGCAGAGGTCTTTTGTCAAATACCCTTTGTTTGTCTTTCATACATCGATCAGAAGACCATGAAGATGGAGACTTTTCCCTATTAGGTTACTTTTATGTGTATCGATATATAACCTCTACGGGGTACTTCATTTCTAATCTAGAAAATATCAATTTCTTTCATGTAAGATCGTAACTGAGGCGGTCGTTCCTTATGACTCCTTAGAGCGATTAATTTACATTTGAGCACATTTTATTAATAAATAAACTTTCACAACTTCAGTGTACAAACGAGAAAAAACTTTTTACAAAAAGGACAACCAGGTCACAAACTCCTGTTATCTTCAGGAGGCCAGTACGATTGTTGATTCGTCCAGTTTGGTTGATGATCAGGATAGTATGGTTGTTGACTGGACCAATTTGACTGTGTCGTATAACGAGCAATGTTACTAAACAAAAAACTTTTTTTCTATTTACTAGTTGTCAAGACATATTCTTGAACTCGAAATTTTTGATCATCTGACGATTATCTCCACTATTACCCGTTTTGCACCTGTAGTACAACTAGAAAAAAAGAAGTATTTTAATTCACCTAAAAGGAACTGAGTGTACAACACGTAACGGGACCAAAATTTTGAATTTACTTGCCGTTTTCTGGGAATCGGTTAAACTGTATCATCTAGCAGAACCTTGATTGCTTTCAGTAAAAATTCAGCAATGTTTTGAAAATCGTCTTTCGACAGAGGTTTTACGTTATTTTAAAAAGCACATAGATGCTCAAAAAACAATAGGACGAAAAAACGTTAGTTTTTTTCGACAAGCTCCACAAACCGCTGTATTTCCTTTCTCGAAATACACAATGGGATTTGGAAAAACTTAAAAAACTTGCTTTTTAATAAAAAAAATTACGTTTTTTCAGAAAACGTTTCACAGATTCATTCCACGACTTGATCCAAAGCTGAAATACACATTATTCGATAGAACACATTGAGACACATTCATAAGTGTCATTTTTTTGTCGGTTGAAAGAAAACCACGCATTTGAAACAATTAGAAAAAACACCCTGCTGCTACTTATACTATAAGACTAGTGCTCTATTAGTATCAACAGCGGTTTCCATGTCCTCTTTTTCACCATATGTGGAAAATCGGCGTTGATCACCGAAATCAAGGTAGCCCTTGGATGTTTTAATTGCAACTATAAAATGGGCTTCAATACCGTTCGCCGTTCCAGCAAGATCATACCTAAACAAATATGACAGTTTTTGAGTAAAAGAGGATTCAATTTTTGCTGTTACTACAGGCGTGGATCGATTAAAAACCGATATTTTTAGCTTTTTTCGACAATAGATTGTATGAAGAGTATGGTATATTCAATTTTTCTCACTACTGAGTTTGTAGAGCAAACATTTCTCTATAAAATGATCTATGGAAAATGTTTTCATCTTTTCTCCTTTCCTTCAATCGCCTTTCTACGAAGAGGCCTATTTATAACGATTTATCATCGATTTCGGTTATGTACCGAAACCGATAAACAGATCTCTTCTTAGATATATTTTTATGAGTGCCGGATTGAGACAAAGATTGCTCCTTGATTTTGTAGAGAAATATTTGCTCTATAAAACCCAGTTGTGGGAAAAGTCTTTAATATGCCATACTCTTTGTATAATTTAGTTTCTGCGCAAAGAGAACACTTCTAGATGTGTCTCGATGCGTTCTACCGAATAATGTATATTTCAGCTTTGGACCAAGTCTTGAAATGAATCTGTGGCACTTTTATTTCAGAATACCACCGAGATAAAAGACCTTTAGAAAACTTTTTAATGTTTCTGTTGAGATGAAGGTCATCAGAGGACACTTCTGGATGTGCTTCGATGCGTTCTATCGAACAATATGTATTTTGGCTTTGGACCAAGTCGTGGAATGAATCTGTGAAACGTTTTCTGAAAAAACGTAATTTTTCTTATTAAAAAGCAAGTTTTTCCAAATGCCATTGTGTATTTCGAGAAAGGAAATACAGCGTTTTGTAGAGCTTGTCGTACAAAGTAGGCATTTATGCTTCTGTAAAATAGTAGCATCATGTTCATGTTGTAAACATCATTACGATCGGCCACCTTTTACTTAAAAAAACAATTTATAAATACTAATTTTTCATCGTATAATAGAATAAATGGGAAAAACGAGAGGTAAGTAAATAATAGCTCAGACATATAACCGAGTTCAATTTCACAGTAAGCTTTTCGCGTAAAGAAAGTTAACTCATTTATTTGCATACAGGTAGCACATTCTGGACAAATTGACCAAGAACATTGCCAGCTGGAAGATAATTGCAAACGACATAAGCTTGATTCCATCCATTGCGAGAAGCATAACCAATACCACAACCAACGGTTTGTGTACTTTTCCATACAACTTGTGTAAAATGACCGGTTTGCGATGAAAAACCTGGTTTATTGAAATTATAATATTTTATTTCATTGTACCAGGATACGACTGCATCAGCACCTGAAACAGCAACAGCAAAAACACTTCCCAAACTTATTCAAGGGTTTAGAAAAGAGAGAGACTTACCGTTGACATTTAATGTGCCAGTTGTCGAAAAGAAATATAAATTTTCACCAGCTCCGTTTCTCGACTTTGGGTCACTATGTTCAAATTTGTTGTTTTGAGCTAAATATTCAGCATAGCGTTGAGCTATTGAATTCAAATTTGCATTCAATGTTAATGATGGAACACAGTGTTTACGGCGATACTCATTGTGTTTATTTAATGCGTCTTGTTGAAACTTAATTTGACTGGATGTAAACGCACGTTTCACTATAAGAAACATAAAGGATGCGAAAGGAAATCTATATTTACTTAGTTAGAAAGATCGCATAGTAAGACTGTCAGTTAACCGTCAGGAATTTCTGTTTTATCTATAAAAACTAAAAAATTTGCTATTTGTAGTCTGTTTCTCTGGACTGTGTTAATCGATTATTTACCACATAATACAAGATTTTGTTGATGGCTGTTGCTGCTGTCTGTGTTTTTTTAGCCAGATTCTTTATAATCTAGTTTCACGACATGACTGCGTCACTTTCGAATATTTCATATAAATCTATCAAAGGAATTCCTATTTTGAGGGAAGAAGGATTATTTTTTTACCGTTAATGGTGAAAAATGAGGTATTTCATAATGAAAATTGAGTGGATTTATACTACGGTTACAGAGTGCATCCACATCCACTGCCTGTCACAAATGAAAATAAAGTTCAATTAGGACACACATAACAACCAGTGAGTGTAAACGGGAATCTATATTTGTACATACTGGATATGTATGCTTATATACGTTACATCTATAGACATAAAAAAGGCCTGAAGAAAAGATCTGTATTCTTCCTTCAGAGCGTATGAATATTTCCAACGAATACATGCTGCATCCGTCTTGTGACGTCTCCGTGACAATTATTCGGTTTTTCGCAAAGCTCTTTACCATAGAAGAAAGTATTCAAAAATATTTTAATTCAATGATCGGTTAAGCAAACTTTTCTCTACAAAATGAAACGCTTCACGACTCTACAGGACTTTCCAGCTAATAGTTATGAATGCTTATTATAACTCATATATTCACGATTTTCTTTCGTTTTGTGCGATAAACTGACTTTTTGCTTTTACGGCGTCCAATAATTTCTAAAATTCCTTTTAAATTACTCCCTTTAAATTACTTATAATTAGGTCTCAACTATGCCTGGTTTTTGTTTTGAACAGAAGTCAAAATCTCTAGAAACTAGTAAAGATTTTTTAAGATTTTTTGGCAAGAACACTTTCATGTAGATTACTAAAGAAAAATCTTGAAAATCGGGCTCTGTTAAGCCTTAGAAATGAGTGTCCGGTTTTAAACAAAAAGACTGAAACTTCTCTGACTTTTTATTATAGAAAAATCGCGGAAGTGCCATGTGTTCTATATTGATTCTTTTCTTCTAGTATTTTTGTGCATAACTTCTGAAATGCAGAAGGTACGATTGGTTATTACCGACAATTTTGTTAAGAACTCCAGCTGCTGAAAAATGTCGAGCAATAGTTTTAGATAGAAATCATGAATTATTGGAATAGATGAGCAAGAAATATAGTGCAAAGATATAGGACATGAATATGCGTGATACACTCGCAATATCAGAAAACGGAAGTCCGACAATAGGCAAAAGACTTGATGAATTTACAAACAAATCCGGAACCAAATTAAGGATTTTGAATAAATTCATCAGCAGGGCTTCCGCGTAAAAAACTGCTTTTTAGAAATATTCTTTGCTAGTCGAACAGTAAGCACTTCAACCCATTCAGTCATATAATGAAAATCATTTAGTACTTTGAGACAGGGAATGGTAGTGTATTAAGAAAATAACTCTCTAAAATTGAGATTATACAGTAAAATCGCACAGATTCAGAATGGCGACTCACTACTCCAGCTCAGTATGTTCACATATACACAGCTTTGAATTCGCACCAGCTTGAGAACCCAATATAAGTCCGTTTCGCTTTCAGAATCTAAAAATCTGAGAGTAGTTCTTCCTGTAGTGTTCGGGATCAGTGCAATTAGGTACATCTGTCTACATGAGTTTTATCTAAAAAGCATGGATTAACTTGAAGACCTTTCTCCGTTAATTCTGGAAAACATCAGATATGTTTTGATGATATCGAAATTTTTCGTAAGAACAAGCATTTAGCGGCTTCGTAAGATTTATACATGGAAAATCTCTGATTTGCGACTTGAATAATCAGAAACGATCCGTCTCTCCGATTTGCGTGGACCCTGAGCTTTATTCTTATGTTTCACTCAACCCGTTTCTGTCTCTACTAAAAACATGACAACAGTATTCTTGGTTTCTTCAACGGATCTTCGAAAAACTACTGTTTTCAATATTGTGCTTTGGACTATCAGCTAATTGGACGAGCGAAGACTGCGTTATTCTTTAGTTCAGCTGTTTGCATCCACCAGCCACGATAATGGGGACAGATATCTTTATTCTGAATGAAAATTACGCTCAACTCACTTGCAAGACGTTGGTATAAGTCACTAACATCATCATCATTCTCATCATTCCATAATCGTACTTCAGGTTGACCGGACAAATATCGTATTTCTGGTAAATCATAGCTTTGTTGCCACCAGTTGAGCTCACGTTTGCTGTTCCAAGATCGAAAGGGACTAGCAACAGCGGCAGAACAAACAAGACTCAATAAGAGCACTGTTATTGTATTCATTCTAAAAGCAAAAAACGAAACAAGTCTTTTGCAAAAAGATCTTTTCATCAAGACAAAGCTAAGAATGAGTCGAGATGCACTGTTATCCTCCGAGCATTCATAGTTTATTATAATACTGGTAGAATAACTTACTTTGATTTCTACCGTTTGATGATCAACGATCGTGTGTTCTTCTATCCTTCAAATAAGTAACTAAGAGATATTAACTGTGAAAATGACACCTCTTTTCTCCTCCACTAATTATTATTACTTTATGTTTTCATGAGCGACGTTAGAAATTTATCCAACTGTGACGGTATTTGTGTCACTAAACACAAGTAGTTAATTTATTATGTAGGAGGGAAAATATCGGTTTTTACTAATTTATGTTCACCATTATTTGTTGCATACAAGTAAAGATCAACTGTAAATATAATACAGGTGGAAAAACAAGAAAGAGCACATCTGTGCTCGATTTATAAAAGATGATTTGATGGTATAAAAGATGAAAGATGGTTTGAGAACGGAATAGTTCATTTCATTCTAAGCTTCTAAACTTCTATAAACTATCGTTTGTTTACATATCATCCCATAAACCAAAGTGAATGTACATTACGCATCGTTCTTTATATTTTCCATTAAAACTTTGAAGAAGGAAGCAAAAAATCTATTACCTGTTTGTGTATAGTGGCATAAATACAGTCATAGTTGGATAAATTTCTAATGTCCCTCATAAAAATATGACTCAATAATAATTAGTGAAAGAGAAAAGAGGTGTCATTTTTATAGTTAATATCTCTCAGTTATTTATTAGAAGGCGAATAACGCACGATGTGCAGTGAATCTATTTCGTTATTATTCTGGTCGTCCTCCACTTGCTATTCATAATGTGTCTGTAACTATGCCCAAGTTCCACATAGAGATTTATGACCTCAGGATCATTTTCATTTAGATATTTTACTTTTTGGCTAATGTATATTTATTATTTATTATAGCTGAGGCGTGCGCTTTTTAAAATTTTATCAGACATTTTCATATTGTTGTTCTTTTTGGAGTATGAGTTTGATCTTTCTGATTGTATATTGGGAGAAAGAGAAAATAGAAAGCAATGGAAAACTTCTTTTTTCTTTAAGGAAGCCGTCCAAATTATGATCGAAGAAAACAGTGCAGTGGAAGGAATCAGAGCAATTAAAGCAATCCTTGAATGTCAAGCGCTTCTCTTTTATGTTTACATACGAGAAAAACATGTATAAAATTTATTGACACTTTTGAAGACACTTTAGACTATCTGTCCATGTAAAAAGTCGAAACGTTTGCATGAAAACTTTCCGAGCTAACTTGATTTCCGAAAGATCCTTCTGAAAAACCATTTTAAGAAGTAGTTTTGGAACTGTGTTTTCTACTTTTAGCTACTGAGTGGTAAAACTCGCAGGTCTGAATTAGGGCGAGCATGTACGATTGAGTTATAAAGTTTAGGTAAAGAATCATTATCATTCACGCATTTATTGTTTATAATACTACTCTAGTGACTGTACTCATGCATGAGTACTCTAAAAGTACTCTGGTAGAAAAACCGGACGAGTACTCATGCGTACTCATACATGTTGAGTAATCATTGAGCACTCACATGAGTACTCATGAGTGAGTAATGAGTACTGTGGGGATGACTTTCAGTACTCATGCTCGAGTACTGTTGAGTAAGCATATAACTTTTGGCAAAATACTCATGATTGTTGTTCATCTAGTATTTTGATATACAGGAGTGATCTACAAGTCTATTCACAGACGAGTCCATTTCTGACTACATACAGAGAGACCAGCGAGAAAAATATCATGTTTCAAAAATACTCTATGTTTCTTTAGTAAATTCTACGTTCTTTATACAGTTTCATTTTTGCAAAACAAAATGGTGAATGAATATTTTTTGAGTACTCACTGAGGAAAAATACTCAAAAATTGTTAGTAGAACTCATATGAGTACTCATGGACGAATTATGAGTAAAGTCGTACTCATAGTATGAGTACTTCCATCAGGGTGGTAGAATAGCTTATTTTGATTTCTACCGTTTGATGATCAACGATCGTGTGTTCTTCTATCCTTCAAATAAGTAACTAAGAGATATTAACTGTGAAAATGACACCTCTTTTCTCCTCTACTAATTTATTATTACTTTATGTTTTCACGAGCGACGTTAGAAATTTATCCAACTGTGACGATATTCCTGTCACTATACTCAAACAACTAATATTGTTTTCCTTCCTTCTTCAAAGTTATATTGGAAAACACAAAGAACGATGTGTAATCATTTATTATTCACTTTGGTTTATGGGATGATATGTAAACAAACTATAGTTTATCGAGATTGTAAGATTCAAATAAAGTAATAGCAAATGTTTAAAAAGCGTTAGAAGTAAAATTAAAATATCTAAATGAAAATGATGCTGGGGTCGTAAATCTTTATGTGGAACTTGGGCATAGTTCCATGAGTAGCAAAGTGAAGGGTGACCAGAATATGAACCAGAGAGGCTTACAGCACAAAAATTATTTAAGAAAAGTTGTTAACTCTAACATAACCGCTAGACCAATGTCTGATTACATAAATTTTAGAACAGTTTATGAACCATCAGTAGAATTTGTCAAAAGATTTTAAAGTATACGACATCCCAGCAGCAAACTATGAGAGTATCATTACTCTCTGGGCAAAAAAATGGTTTCCTATAAAAAGTTTTCTGATTAAGGTTCAGAATTCATTTCAGATATCGAAATCTTTTAATCCACAAAGTCTAAAATGGTGGGACAAAGTCTAGGAAATCCCAAAGCGTTCTGTAATGATCTACACAGTCTTAAATAGTTTCACTAATTTATGTGAAACCTTGATATGATTTCTTATAAAACGGCAAAAGTTTTCCTACAAAACTGATCACATTGCCAATACGAAGTTTCGGCAGTGTTGAAAGGAGCGCAGAGAGTAGTGCACTCGGAGGAAAACTTTAAGTCTTAGAAATGTTTATATCAAAATCGCGCGGTTGCATATTATTCAATAGTTGAAACCTGTAAATTAAACACAAGGTAGTTTTGAATATCATGCGCGAGCAGCAATAATAACTTCCGAGAAAGCTGTTGTAGTTGACACAAGATTATTAGCATACAAATCGAATTTTTTTCTAGTTTATAAGTTAATACGTGAATAATATTCTATTTTAAATGAGGATTCAGTGGTTGTAAGCCATTATAGAAAAAGCAATAGGTCCATGAAGATGAAGAAATGAGGTTATTATTTATTTCTATCGTACTTCTTTAACTGTCTCTTGTGTTCAAAAACCGAAACAGAAATTTTTACGCTAGTTAAACTTAAATTGCTTAGGAAGGAAAAAAAAGTGATATCTGTGACTTAAAATTAACAGTCTGTTTGTTTCACAAAAACTTTTTTTAATGTAGAAAGTCAGTTGTATGAACCAAAACAATGTACTGACAAAAAAAAGAGAACTTTTTCAAAACTGAGAACTTGCTCTTATCAGGCGAAAACAATAACTTAGAACACTTTTTTGTAGAAAAAGTTATAATCAAGTGTCAACCTCGAGTATGCACGTGGAGTATTTAATCTTTCTTTCAAATTATGAAACTGTATGCATACGTCTTTGACGTTTTCTCTCAAATGCATTAATTGGGCTTTCCTATTCAACCATGCATAAATATCTCGAAATAAATCTGGATCGATATTTTGGATTAGAAGCACCTTAGAAATTTTAGTATTTTTTGAATGTCTCGCGAAGAAAAGCATATTTTCTAAAAAGAAAAGTTTAGAATCGGAGATTAGGCCTTGATTACCTATGGTAAAAATTTCAGCTCGATCAAACTATTCTTTCACGTGGTCGTAAAATATGTTTCATAGTCCTCCATATCAGTTTTCGCTGATATTCGAATTATTTGACGAACTGCAATTTTACTTAAAGCAAAATAACGTTTATGTACTATTTCACCAAAGAATTCTCTAGAAATGATTGCTGAAGAGTTGCTGTTTTGTATACTTCTGCTATCAATTAATGATGTGGGATAGATGTATATAAATTAGAAAAAGCATACGTTTGAACATTTCTGGTCAAGTTTTCTTGTCAGTTTCTCTAATATTTTGTAATAAAATAGATAGATTAATCTAAAATCGAATAATCTTAGCTCTACTTCCGATTGTTACAATATGAGTAGACTATGGGACAACGTAAGAAGTACGTACTGTTCTCTTAGTTTATAAAAGTAATAGATTGAATATGGTCTCAATAGTAGAAAATGAACAGCAGTTATGTACTGCCTTATGAAATTCTTACTAAAGACAGATACCGTTTTATTTTGCAGAAGCACACATTGCACCACCGATTTTTTGCAAATTTTTTCTAAGTTTTTCAAGGTAGGTAAGACTGATCGTTTTGAGAATGCCTTGCGACAACTCAGAAGTCATAATACTAGAACACCATGCATTTAGAAGAGCACTGGTTCCGAGAAAAAGGACCTGAACGATTTTTTTCAGGTCGAAGTTATAAATTCTAGTAACAAAACATGTCAGTGAGATCAGTAACAAAATATTTCCTCTTCTCTGACAAGAGATTAGGCGAAAACTATGAATACTGTTGACGTTATCCACTGAAACTACCTCGAATCAAAAATTTTGAGAGCCTTCGCTTTATTCGATTGTTTTCAAGCTTTTCTCATACATCTTTTCTGCCATTTCTATTAAAATTCCCTTGTTTCTAGTCTCACTTGTGAAACTTGACAACTTATCTTTGACAACTTATTTTTATTAATTCTTTAGTTAAAAATTGACCATGAATGCATTTTATGATAGAAATTTTGGTACGTGATATAATTCTGCATTCTAGTTCACCATGAAATCTATCTTGATCAATTATTAAATCACCCCA